AAACATAATTAGCATTCTGAAATGGAAAGTTGTTTGCATGGCCATAATAAATGCTAAAATATTTCTTTCTATCTGTAATCCTTAACTAGCTAATTGTAATGTGGGAATTCCACGCATTGTGAAAATTGCAAATTAGTTATATTTTCATTGGTTATCACATTTCATCACATTACCGACTAGTTTCTGTAAGCAGTCTTCTTTTCAGAAGAAGAAAACATGCTTTACTTCGTGTACCTAGAGAGAGAGTTGGTGCATCACGATGGGTATACCACATTCATAGAAGCTCTTAAAGTGTCATTCTCCTTATTTTTCATTTTAAATTTGAAGTATCCTCGCAATCTATGCGCTACCATGGAGTTGTTGCAGAGGATGATTCTGAAAATACATCCCGACGCTGGGTCAAAATCTAAAAAAGTGTGTGCAACGCGAAAAAAAGTGTTCAATTTTATGAACAGTATTAAAGAAGGTTAATATTAATAGAAATGTCTTCTTTTTAGTTTTAAGGATTTTATTAGAGAGGTTTTTTATGTTTCTGTTACTAATAAGAAAAATATACACTATTCACTATTCTTAACTTTTTGCTTTTATTTTATTTTTTGGCGTGCAAGGTTTCTAACGAGGATTCCAATGTTACCTAACATGATCTTGAAGACATATCCAAAGTATTTTGGGAGTTGTTAAACGTGTACAGGGTTTTCATTTTTATTTTGACACCCACCTACAGAGTTTATTAAAAGAGATAGGCAAAAATTGTTTATACAAAAGTTGCGTGTTTTTTTCTGTAATATATTTTCAACATATCAACAAAAAACAAATGAGCATCGTAATGTTAAAAAAAAGAACAAATTCCCTTAAATGGAACACTATATTTTTACTCAGGGTGAAATCCCTTTTCATCCTGATTCCAAAAATGTATAGTTTGCCGGTATTTCATTCGGCCTTTTTTTTTTAAATATTTGAAGTTTATTATTCAAAAAATGCAGCAAGAGTTTTTGAAACACTGTCATGCATTGGAATGGGAAAAATTTGTTATATACTGAGATAATATATTGTTAAAAATTGTTATAGAATGTAAAAATTAATAATTCGTAAATTTATAAAAATAATAGTAATAATCCATAACAATGTTGATTATTAAGTTCTATTTTTGAATAATAAACTTAAATTATTTAAAAAACGGCTGAATAAAATACTGGCAAACATATTTTTGGAATCAGGATGAAACGGGTTTTCAGCCTGAGTAAAAATATACAAGGTGTTCCATTAAGTAAACAAAATAAAGTTAATTAAGCTTGGCGATGGTCATTTGTTGTTATTGATGTGTTCAAAAGAAAATATAGAAAAAAACACACAACTTTTGTACAAAATATTTTGCCTATCTGTTTTAATAAACTCCGTAGGTGGATGTCAAAATATATATGAAAAATAAACAAAAATAGGTAGGTACCATGTAAAAAGGGAAACTAAAGGTAGAATTCGTCTTGACAAGTACAGACGAGCGGACGGACAAATGTAATTTTCACATTTCTGAAATGGAAAATTACATTATAAGGCGAGCCTATGCGCACTAATGATTACTGAAATATAACATATTAAAATATGGACTTGCTGAAATTCCGTTATATGTTACACTTTTTTCATCAACTTAGTATGTGATATTCCATAAACTATACGTAACATACTAGGAAGATACTGTAATAAAACACAACTAATAGGAACAGGAAACCTAAAAAAAGTATGGATTGCCTTGTAACATGCTCTGGAAAATTAAATAGTAAATTTCCCATATTATGGTAAAATACAGTATAAAGTCTTGCTTTTTTGCAGTTGAAGAATGGAGAATCACTTTATGAAATGGGTTAATTTACAAGTTCCTCGTGTTATGCAAGAATAAAAATTGGAACTTACCTAAATCTATCATGAATTCATCTGTGAATATTAATGGTAAATTACGGTAGATGTTACAGTAAAATTTATTTACAAATCGTTAGGTATTTTCACAGAACTTTACGTTGGTTATAAATAGCCAACGTAAAGTTGTGGAATATTACATAAACTTTTTTTACCGTGCAGTTCGGTTATACATTTACGTGTTTTAATATTCGGAATCGACCTTTAAGTAAGCCGTAACATTACTCAATAAACACTCTAGTGGAGGAAAGTTTGTAATTAAAATTTCTCTGCTTTCGTGTTAAGTGACCGTTATCTTTATATGGTGTTAACAAGTAGTTAGTACATTTGTACGCCGAATCCTCCAAAATGTGGGTATTCGTATCTGGAAAGAGTTCAAAGGGTGTTTCACGAATTCTTTTCCCTAATGGTGAATTGTGCCATACACGCGCATCATGGACGCTTCCAGGATAGCCTATAAATTATGTACCGTTAATATGAACAAAAGCATGGATATTACCTGCAAAAACATCTGTGGACATATAATTGGCATCACACACACCTTGCAAGATTATAGAATGGTAGTGATGTCTATTACAATAACTTCCTTGATCTTGAGAAAGAGCCGTAATTGGTATATGTGTACCATCAACTGCCCCTAACACGCCAGGAAACCCCGCACGTTTGGAAAATTGCAGCATTACTTGATGTGCTTTCTGTCGAGTGGGCCACACAATATAATTAGACGATTGATCCGTTAAAATTGTGCATACTTTTTGCACATACAACCACGCTGTTGATGTGCTTACATTAAATTTCTCGGAAATGAGTCGATAAACTTGCTGGTTACACAACATACTCAAGGCTATGAGTAGTTGTGTTTGTGGAGGTTTTGCAGTCGGTCCTACCCCATTGTCTCTTTTTTTCTATTAAAAATTTACCAATTCCACCCAGAATGTAATTGAAGGTAGAATGTGAAAGTCTATAATGACTTTTAAAAACTGAAAGCAATATATTTTCATATACAACTGTACACATTGGTAATAACATACCACTATCATCATACAAAGATGCCACATTTTCAATATAATCTTTTACGGCAATTCGAGGTCTTTTTTGTAGATGTACTGACTTTGATAAAATTGTAATCATTTCATCTTCATCCTCACTATCACTCTCCATCAACTGGGCTATTGCCGCCAAAATTAACTTCCGTTTTCTATTACTTTTTGCAACTTCCATTACAAAGTAAAGAAAAACAAACCAAGAAAGCATGCAAATTTATGAAACAGTCCCTTTAACCTAACCTACAAAACAAATCTGACGCTCTCTATTTACCGTGTCGTTCGATAAATCAACCATAACCACGCTCACCGTAGCTGTTTACCGAATTTTACCGAGACATTTGTCTCGATCCAATTATCGTAAATGCCCTACTGATAAAATCGAACTGTTCACATTTAAAAAATCTTTCTATTCTTTCTCTCAGCTTATCTAGGTCTTCTTTCTTTGTCCTACAATTTGAATTTAGGAAACTTTCGGTTTCATTATTTGTATTACCTAATAGATAAGGGGAATCCCTAGTTCTCTTGATTTTTCCCCGAGTTCATTTTCTTCCTGTGGCATTGTAAGACACTTGTCTGTATGTGGTGAAGCTACAAATTCTTAACTGGGTTTTATCCGGCTCATCTGTGAGGATTATCAAGAACTAGTGAGCCCGTGGGCTACGCCCCACGTGGCGTAGCAAGGGTCCAAGGGAAAATAGGGAAATCTTTTGTTTGACACATTACACGGCCTCATTGAAAAGTGTATCACTTCCTCTGTCGTTCTGAAGGTTGATGGCGGTGGGGTTCATATTGACATAAGATGTGGGCTTAAAAACACCAACATCGACATGTCAAAAACATGAAATAATACACATTAGACTATTATTCTTTTTGCTTTATTGCAACGAAATTGAGAACGGCATACAATTAACATTAATACACAATAGTTGTATTCCATTGTTTGCTTTATTGCAACGCTCTTTCATAAACAATATTTTTTGTTGTTTTGGCATGTGTGAAGATGAATAATGAAGACGGTTTACCAACACGTGAGCATCCAACGTATAATTGTCCATGTGAGAAACATGGTGGTTCAAGATGTAATCCACATACTTGAAGCGATTGCCCTTGAGATTTATTGATGGTCATAGCAAATGCCAGTCGGACGGGAAATTGTATTCGCTTAAATTCGAAAGGCATATCTGATGGAATAATTGGTATACGTGGAATCAATACGTTTTCGCCTTTGTATTTGCCAGATAATATAGTTGCTTCAATGATGTTGTTCAGCAATTGTTTTACAGCCAGTCTTGTTCCATTACAAAGCCTTGGTTGATGTAAATTGCGTAACAGAATGATTGGCACACCAATTTTTAATTGCAGAATATGAGGAGGAGTTCCAGGTAAATCAAGTGAATTTAAAAATTCTATTGGATAATTTACAGCTTCATCTGGATCCATAACGCAATCAATAGATTTGTAGATGTTGGTTTGGCCACTAAGCTTGTTTTGAATCTCAATATTAATATCACTTACGTCTTTGTTTTTAGCTGCCAATATAGCGCGATCGCTTAACCATTGATGATTTGTATAATTATCTACAATGTTGGGATACACACTTGCAATTAACTCCTCTTGTGATTCAGTAGTAACACAAAAATCTGCAGGCAATGTTATTAATCCTGTTGTATTGTCCGTAGCACATTTTCCATTTCCAACGTCCAATAATTGGCTTGCAAATGAATTGGCTGATGCATCATTTTGTAACTGTACGCGCATATTTACAGTAAGCGATAGTTTGTGAAACAATCGCCACAAATGAGATGATTTTAAACATGCGTTTAATTGATCTGCTGGAGTTGATCGTGCGATGACTGGTAAAGTTTGTCTAAAATCACCTGCTAATAATATAATCGCATTTCCAAATGGCTGTTGGTTGGTGCGCAAATCTCGCAAGGTTCGATCCAGTGCCTCTAAAGACTTTTTGTGTGCCATTGTGCATTCATCCCATATAATAATCTTGCATTGTTGAAGAACCTTTGCCATTGCGGATGTTTTCGAAATATTACATGTTGGTGTTTCTGTTAGTTGCATGTTTAATGGCAATTTTAATGCAGAATGTGCCGTTCTTCCACCATCTAACAAAGTGGCTGCAATTCCAGAAGACGCTATTGCCAACGCGATATTGCCGTTTGATCGTACTGTGGCCAAAATCAACGCAATTAAATATGTTTTTCCAGTACCTCCGGGAGCATCTAGGAAATACAATTCACCGTTGTTCTCATTGATGGCTTGCATAATAGTGTTGTAGACGTGCGTTTGCTGCTGATTCATGTTTGTTATGTTGTCTTGAACAAATGTATGTAATGCATTGGTATCGTACTGTGTTTCACGTTGTATTTCACGATTGCAAACTTCTGTAATGGTTCGATTTGGTGATGGCAGTCCCAATTGATTAAGGAGTTTATTCGCCATCATCAAACACATGTCTTCAATGTAAATTAATGATTGATTATACATCTCCGCAGTGTATTGTAATTCTGTGTGTTCACTTGCATTACGTGCTTGATGTAAAATGTCATCTGTCATGGCGTCTTTATGTTGTTCCCACAGTTGTACAGGTCTTGATGGAAAGCATGTTGATATTATAATTGCGAATAATGTACGCATTTGATATGAAGAAGCTGTAAGTGATGCTTCGTGAAGGGAATTGTCCCAATGTTCATCGTTTTCAAGTAAATGTAAGTGTTGACAGGCGTCACGATATGATTCGCACAATACGCCATTTACAGTTCTTAAACTGTGAAATGATGTGGGGCCACGCACAGTAATCAGCAGCAAACGTAAATAATAGCATTCAGCCATGTTTGGATGTACAGTGTATAATCGACCCAAGGCATCACTTGAAAATAACTGTGGGTGGCCAGTTACTGGTTTACCTTGTTTCCGACGTTCAAATGTTTTTCTGGTAGCATTCCACGTGAAATAACGTGGAACTTCTGAGTACAATAACGTTCCAGCAAAGTCATCAGTTTGGCACAATGCAAAAAAAGCAGTCAATGTTGTTGCTGGTGGTTGTGCTGCTCGCTCGAAAACATTTTCTGTGGTAAAATATACTCGTTGTCCATTTTCTAAATGAACAGCCAAATGTACCACAGTTGGATATCTTTCGTGAATTGGAAATGCAAATATGCGCCATATTGCTTCGTTGCTGCTGATATATCTGCCAAGCTGATATTGTCGGATTTCATCTAGATTATTTTCAGGTGCCACTCCGAAAATGGCCATGTCACTGCCTTTGTTGACATATTTACAAATATATTTGATGGACTTCACAGAATTACAATATTCTACATTTATATGTGCTTTATAGATTTTGGATAATAATGGCGAATATGGCACTATCCAACGATTATCAATCTCAACGTCATTGTTGCGTACTTTCACCATTATTGATTTACCATTGTCATGTGTTGAACGACGGCGATATAGTGGATATCCATCGTTACCTGTTATTGTTTCTGGAATGAATTGTTTTGGATATCGTTTAGAGCACTTGCCATCAATCATACATGGTGAATGTAAATTAAGAGCACCACATGGGCCATGTATCATATTCTTTGTAATTATTTGGAATAGTTCAGAATCAATTGCAGAATCCGGTATTTCAGCACAAATAATACCATCAACTTCGTTTGGTTGAATTTTATCCATACACCAAATGAGAATATGCGCATGTGGCAATCCTCTCTTCTGCCATTCAATTGAATACATCCAGCATCGAACTGAACCAAACACGTTGTACTTGACAATTAAACCCATTAATGATTTTAGTTTTTGCTTAAATACTCGTGCCGTGATGTCATGACGATCAGTGTGCGATTGTCCGGGCAACAAACATTGTTTAATTTCATTCCAGGTCGGATTGCAGGTAAATGTGATGAATAAATCCGGACGACCATAATGCCGAACGTATGACATTGCATCTTGTGCATATTCATGCATGTGACGTGGACTGCCTGTATAGGTCGATGGTAGAATTGTGATGCGACCAACGTTATTTGCATTTCCATCCGTATTAATTGCATCACGTAGATGAATGTATTCCTCCGATCTTAATTGTCGTTGGTTGAGTCGAATGAATAACAGCCGCTCTGTCTCTATTTTTGCGTACATGTCCACTACATATTGATGGAACAATTGCCGACACTTCAGAATATGATTGTCTCCATTCTCTCGAATCATTAATCTGTACGCATAATAATTCATGCAACTAATTTTTTTGGTTGTTTCCGTACCTGTAATAGTGTCATATAGTTAGATTATCTTTAAATTACTTACAAAACACATTACTTACCGGTTGTTGGATTTATCATTTTCAAATGAAAATGATATCCATCATCTCCCTGCCAAAACAGTATTGGATATTGAAGTGCGTCATAGGAACGATGTGTTTCAGAGACACGTTGCAATGTATCATTTCGCCGATGCAAAACAATATCCCTAGCTTCAAATTGATCACCACCAATGACAATTGCTATCTCATTTATTGTTGGTGCATTAAATCGTCTTGAATGTTCACCTCCAGGTGTTTTGTCAGCTCTTATAACTATTTTGTGATTGTCGGACGGCATTCGGTCTATTGCAGTTTTAAATAATTTTACCAATTGATTGTGCTGATCGAGTAAGATTTGTAATGACTCTACAATTTGACGGCGTATCCCAGAAGTAATGGCACATCTAGTGTTGACCTCATCATCCGAACTGCCAAGAAAATATATCTGTAGAAATTTGTGTTGTTCATCAGATATCGGCAATAATGAACCTACAGTGTGATATATTTGACCTTGCACTTTGAATGTTGGCATGAAGTGATCAGTAATTATTTTATCTGCACCAAATGACGTCATTTGGAAGCAACTGTTGTACTTCCGAATATTAGTGAGAAAATGTTTTGATTGAGAAGTAGTTCCAGATACTAATGTTAGTAACGGTTCCGGTGCTTGTTGTAAGGGTGTTAATTTTACTTGTCCATTAACGCAACACAACCCGGGCGCTTCCGTTTCGTATTTCAATGCTTGACAATGGGCACACACTTTATCCATATTACCAATATCAATGTTGCGATGCGAGTTATAATCAATTGTTGGATCATAGTCGAATGCAAGCCGTAGAAATGTTATTCGATTAGTGGCACGTGTTGCTGATCTTACTCGTCGATACGCAACACGTCGTTCTTCACTTCGCATTTGGCGTTGTTCTTGTGTAATGTTTTCACGGACGCGTGAATTGTGATTTCTAACTTGTTCATTTTCTGCTGCATGTTCCTCCTCTGTTCTTCGGGACCGTGCGTGACGGACGTAATTTATTTGTCGTGTACGGCGACCAATATCTGAACGTCGTCGCGGCATTGCGCTCGATTCAAACCAAATGTAATTAACAACCCGTACCGTACTCAGTACTAACCGTACTGCGAACCTCAGAACGGAGACCGTCTACCAGTTCTATTTTTAGAACGAATACGTACCCTTGAGATGGCAGTAATGTTTATAGGCAGGCGGTCGGGCGCACTTGAGACTGCCGTTGACGTTGACGTTATAAACTGTCACACTTCACCCCCGAACAATTTTTTAAGCTTTTACTTTACTTCGACATATCGGCATTCGGCAACAGTCCAGTGGTCCCCGTGCCTGGCGTTAGATCTCTGTTGTAATTAAAGTGAAAAATATTATAAAAAACGATGGACCGTTTTTGCAGTTATTGTGGGGCAAGGAGACAACTGGAGTTTGATCGTCCATTGGGTATGCATAATATAATAACATGTTACTATGTAATATCTATTATTACTCTTTACAGATCGCTGTAGCAAATGTGATAAATTCCCATTTATATTATCGCACGAAGTAAAGTCAGCGTCGGTATTGCGGTGTTCGGTGTGTACTGCTTATATCTGCGCGATAAACAGATATTGCGAAATATGTGGACATACGGTGGAAAACAGCAAACGGATAAGGGGCGAAAGAGCTGGACAAATGCAAATGGCAGGAAAAATTCAGGCGAAAAAAATGGAAGCTATCGAACGGAGAAAAAGACGAAAACTGGAAGCTGAGTGTTCATCGTTCAGTGCCTCAACCCCATCCACAATGACATCACTTTCGCCGTCAAAAAAGTCATCATCTAATCCGTTATCATTTTCATCCAACGATGATGATGATGTAGACAATTTGTTGTCGCAAATACCGGATTCGGAATTGTCGCAAATACAGGATTCGCAAACAAAGGATTCGGAATTGTCGCAAATACAGGATTCGCAAAAACCGGATTCGGAATTGTCGCAAATACAGGATTCGGAAGCAAACCCAGAGTGAATCTATAATATGTAATTATAATTAGGTAGGTGATTAGGTAATTAGGTAAGAGTGAATCAATAATATGTAATTATAATTAGGTAGCTGATTAGGTAATTAGGTTATCTTTATAATACATAAGTACATACTTTATACATTTCCATGTAATAAACAAAATAAACAATTTAAATTGAGTGTGTGGTGGTTTCAATTTTAAATCTTATACTCGAGACTAGGCATGGGAATTTTTTTCGATATATCGATAGGTATCGATAGTTATCGATATATCGAATAACAATAGGTAGAGCTAAAAAAATCGATAGATCGATAGATCGATAACTATCAATATATCGATACTTATCGATAAGTATCGATATGTCGATAACTATCGATATATCGATAACTATTGATATATCGATATGTCGATAACTATCGATATGTCGATAACTATCGATTGATAACTATGGTACGATAAATTGATGTTATTTGTTTGCAGATTCAACGAGCGCTACTATTTTATTAATAAAATCCGATGTTCGGGTTTAACTCTCTTGTAAATTTACTACTTTATTGCTCGACGAGATTTCAGAAAACCTAACTTTGCTCCCTTTCTCTGAGAAACTATCGGATACGTCCGCTATATTTCTCTTCAATTGAGGCGGCATTTACCGTTTAATTACAGCGTTAATTGCATTTTAGAAAGCTAAAGATCCCTGCGATAGATTGCACATAGTAATATAACTCCATTAAAGTTGCAAGAACTGCATCTCGGTTATTTTTTCATATTTTGTTAATAAGAGCCCTCTTGTTTTGTCGGGCTCTTTCGCCGAAAATATAAAAAGTTAAAACTCATTGCAGTTTTTAGACACGCTTTCAAAAAAATTATGTCATTGGTAAAATATTATATATATCTGATACTATATTATAAAATACTAATTGCCATAACGATGATACTATCGATTATACCGATACTTATCGATATAGCGACAGTTTTATCACGTCTTTCGATTAGTTATCGGTGTAATCGATAACCTACGTCGATATTTCGATAATTATCGCATATCGATAAGTAAAATATATCGATAGTAAAGTACCGATTACTTATCAATAGAGTGAAACAGTTTATCGCCCATCCCTATTGTAAGTATACGTTTTAAAAACATCCAATATAAAACCCATTCTTAGTTCTGATACAAACTCTCTTATACATAGTCGGCTGGGCCTTTAATTAAAAACGCTTTTTGTACTGGTTTTAACTGACTTGCGCCCAGTTGGATGGGCCGATTTGATTCGCCAAGGTCTTGGCGTCGATTCTCTGGTAAAGCATGTGGTGTGGGTGGAGTAGGAAGGAGCTCTAAGCCCAAACTCAGCCCACTTTAAAATAAAAAAGTGGGATGGTCTAAGTGACTCAAGGTTTTTTTGCTGTGAAAACATGCTTAAATTTAAACCTTTGTTTCTAGGTTCGATGTCGAATCCAAACATGGCGCATTTTACACGGGCGGAAACTTGGAATGGCACCACAACCTCCTCTTCTGCCAAAATAAATCGTCCGTCTCACTTCTCGACATCGACAAGGGTGTAGTTGTACTCGAGGTAGGAGAGAAGTATTCTGAAGCCTCGGATCTCGTGCAAACGTTCACGGCCGATAGGGATCAGGTCGTGACTTCTCACAAGAGCGGATCTATAAAACTTTGGAAACACGACGGTGCACTTGTGAAAACCTGGAAGAGTATTCATAAGGGGCCGATCGTTCGACTGGTATTAAACGGAAGTCTGTTGGCTAGCGGAGGGTCGGATGGAAATGTGAGAATTTGGAACATGGAAAATCAAATGTGCGTTCTCGGTTTGAAGGGATTATTTGGAATTGTCAATGTTGTAGAATTTCATTCGGGTCGAGAATTGGTGTTTGCTTCCGGTGACGATGGCAAAATCGCAACATGGTGTTTAAAGACGGGGACATCGATGGTAACGTACAACGGCCACTTTAGTAAAGTGACTGCAATTACGTTTCACGAGGATACCCAGCATTTTGTCAGTTGCGGGCGAGATAGAGTGATAATGTTATGGACTGTTGGAGTGGCGACTGCGGTACGCGTTGTACCGACATACGAGACATTGGAAGATATAGTTTTCTTACCAAACGTATTGAGAATAACGGCGAAAGGGGGCGTTGACAGTGAGGGGATGCATGTTGCCACAGTTGGCAGTAATGGACTGGTACGAATTTGGGACATGGGTAAATCCGCGGAAATTTTTGTACAAACAAATTCGTTGGTGTCGAAAGCGAAAGAGGACGGTCGCTTGGCTATTCAAAAATTATTGTTTGACAAAGAGAGAGATATGTTCGCCGTAGTGGCGGCAGATCAAACCATAGTTTTGCACGAATTAACCACTTTCAACGTCGTTAAACAGTTTGTGGGCTTTTCCGATGAAATCTTAGATGTGGTTTTTGTGGGCAAAAATGATTCTCACATTGCCGTAGCTACGAACTCTGAAGACATTAAGCTATACGAAAGTGCAACAATGAACTGCAATCTTTTGAAGGGCCATACTGACCTGGTACTAGCACTAAGTGCATCTAAAGTAAATTGCAACTTGCTACTCTCGTCTGCGAAGGACAACACGATCCGACTGTGGCGCTTGTTTGAAAAAGGAATCTGCGAATGTGTCGGAATTGGCATGGCACACACCGGGTCTGTCGATTCAATAGCATTCTCGAATTTAACCGCTACTTTTGCAATATCCGCTAGTCAAGACACCTGCTTAAAAGTCTGGGAGCTGCCTTCAAAGTTTGAAAAAAATTCGAACTTGCTATGCAAGTGTACAGAGGTTGCTCATCAAAAAGGGATTAACTCGGTGGAAGTGTCTCCAAACGACAAGATAATTGCCACCGGTTCTCAGGATAAAACCGCAAAGCTGTGGACAGACTCCCTGGAGTTGATAGGCGTGTTACATGGACACAAACGTGGAATTTGGTGCGTGCGATTCTCACCAGTCGATCAAATAGTACTAACATCGTCTACAGATGGCGCGATTAAGTTATGGTCTATTACAACATTGAACTGTTTAAAAACATTTGAAGGTCACGATGCGAGTGTCCACAGGGCAGAATTTATATCAAATGGAATGCAAATTTTAAGCGGAGGGGCAGATGGATTAATTAAACTTTTTAACATCAAAACGGCGGAGTGTGTAAATACCTTTGATCAACATGAAGCGCGTGTGTGGACTTTAGCAATAAATCAGAATGAGACCGGTTTTATAACGGGAGGAGCAGACTCTTTCCTCATCAAGTGGAAGGATGTAACGGAAGATCGCCTACGTGAAAAAGCAAACGACGCGAATAAGCGAATTTTACAAGAGCAACAAATAAACAACTATTTACAAAACGACGAATTACTGAAGGCACTAACACTAGCGCTTAATTTAGCCAGACCATTTCAAACATTAAAAATAGTTCAACTAATCATAAAAAAGGGGGACTACGGTTTGACGGACACAATACACCAGTTAAGAAACGACCAAAAGGATGCCTTATTGAAATGTGTAACTGATTGGAATACTAATAGCCATAACTGCCATTCCGCGCAGCTAGTTCTGAATATACTAATGAAGGAAATGCAAACTGGTCATTTTTGGCCAGTTGGTTTAAATAACGCAGTTGAAGAAATTTTGCCCTACACAGATAGGCACTTTAAGAGATTAAGTAAATTAATGCAAGATTTACATTTTATAAATTATACCATTAATTGTATGCAACCTCATGCTAAAAATAAATAAATGTTTTTGAAATTCTCAGTACTGCTAACTTACTGGTTTAAAATTTTGCGAGATGCGTCCCAAAAGTCCCACATAGAAAATTCAAAGGGCTGTAACTTTTGAACTAGTAGCCCAATCTTGTAACTGTTTGAAATTATGGATTCTACAGGCCACATTCAATAAGAAACATTTTTTCCGGGTCGATCTGAGACAATTTTTTTTCGAGAGCCTCAAAAAAAGGCAGTTCCTTCCTTTTTTACAAAAAATCGACTACACTAAAATTTCTCGGGAGAACACTTTTTCTTATTAATTTTGGTGCGTAGAATTCAAACCAATTCGTACTTTTTCGATCAGACTTCTCAATCAAAAGTTATAGACTAGAAACCAATTTCGAAAGAAAATTCAAAGGGCTGTAACTTTTGATCTAGTAGCCCAATCTTGGAACTGTTTGAAATTATGGAATCTACAGGCCATTTCCTTAAAGGGCAGTTGAAAATGTGCAATTTAATGTAGGATTTGTAGAGAAAATGTACTTCAATGATCCAGTATCTGGAATTGTATTTTGTGAACGCATTTGGTACATTTGCGCCATCTCTTTGGTAATCCCTATACTTTTGCAAATTTAATTCTTGTAATAGTTGAACTAGTTCCAATGAGATGTCGCCACGTACGACACTAACTTCACAAGAATATTTTAATTTATTCACTTAATCAAAGATCATACTACACTAGATAGCCAGCGTATATGCAAGAGTTGTTTCGCGTTTAAGTAGTTCCATAAAAATATTTATAGGGGGCTTTCAAAGTTAAGAACGTAACTGATTCATCCGAAGCCGTCTTTTTACGAGTTCGAATCATATCATAAATACAAAGAGTGATTATTGTCTAAACACGAGACACATAAACATGACCTACTGAACACTCCTCACTATCATTGGGATAAAATTACATTTGTAAGTGGGCTTCATTCAAGACGAGGTAGATTCTAGTACAGTCAGGACGTTACAATGAAAGAAATAATTTGAAAGTTGTACACAATATTCCCTTTGCTTTTTTTTTAACCAGCGCTAACCAATACATTTTCCAGATTTTCGGATTAAATTAATAATTGCAAAAGCGTCTTTTTCTTAGCATAATTTCTGAAAACCTTTAGTTTCACGTATCTACGATACTTTAGCAAATCTTCAAATATAATATCACAGATTTAAACATACTATAAATCTGTGATAATATGCACCTACTTATCCAGGCATATTTACATTGTAACCACACATTTATCTAATTTAGATTTGTTGTAATTAAGCATTTTATGATTGGGATAAACGATACATCCCGCTTAGCCTCCTACATAATAAAATTGTGTCCAGCTAAAGTGAGTCGGAACTAGAAGCGTCTGTGGTTAAAATTTCAAAGAAATATCTCCATAAATATGAAAGTTGGTATTGCGCAGTCTGCGCAAAATATGGAAAATACGAAACTGATCGAAATGGGCAAATATAGACCATAACGGCTATCAATTAGCGAAAACCCGAAGTCTCTAGGTGGCCCAGGGGCCGAGATCTCGATGGAACGGATGGACGGACGGACGGACAGACGGAAACACGAGCACATAAGCTTTACCTCAACTTCGTTGTGTTACGATAAAAAATTTAAATTAAAACAAGATGTGAATATTCGGTATTTTAATTTACAGTAAGGTAACCAGATAAAAACATCTATAACACCCACACAAGGTTGCGCTTAGGAATGACACCCATATCCCATACAATAGCCCTTTATTCTAAAAATAACTGTGCTTTGCCATTTCGCGCGTCTTCTTACCCCGCCAGGTAGTTTGTAATATTCTCATAAAAACATAGCCGCTGGAGGACGCAGTCGACTTATTTGGCGGGACGGATTATGAGAGTCTAAAATTTATACAGCGCTGTGTAGTTAGCGTTGAGTGAAAAGTAATACTCAACGCTTAATAGCCATGTCCGACTCAATTTGGCACACTTGCGCCATCTCTTTGGTAATCCCTATACTTTTGCAAATTTAATTCATGTAATAGTTGAACCAGTTCCAATGAGATGTCGCCACGTACGACACTCACTTGACAAGAACATTTTAATTTATGCACTTAATTGCCACGTCCGACTCAATTTTCCTTAAAGGGCAGTTGAAAATGTTCAATTTCATGTAGGATTTGTAGAGCAATTGTACTTCAATAATCGACTACACTAAAATTTCTCGGGAAAACACTTTTTCTTATTAATTTTGGTGCGTAGAATCCAAAACAATTCATACTTTTTCGATCAGACTTCTCAATCAAAAGTTATAGACTAGAAACCAATTTCGAAAGAAAATTCAAAGGGCTGTAACTTTTGAACTAGTAGCCCAATCTTGTAACTGTTTGAAATTATGGATTCTACAGGCCACATTCAATAAGAAACATTTTTTCCGGGTCGATCTGAGACAATTTTTTTTGCGGGCCTCAAAAAAAGGCAGTGTATAACCTTCCTTTTTTACAAAAAATCGACTACACTAAAATTTCTCGGGAAAACACTTTTTCTTATTAATCTTGGTGCGTAGAATCTAAAACGATTCGTACTTTTTCGATTAGATTTCTCAATCAAAAGTTATGGACTAAAAACCAATTTCGAAAGAAAATTCGAAAGGCTGTAACTTTTGATCTAGTAGCCCAATCTTGGAACTGTTTGAAATTATGGAATCTACAGGCCATTTCCTTAAAGGGCAGTTGAAAATGTGCAATTTCATGTAGGATTTGTAGAGAAAATGTACTTCAATGATCCAGTATCTGGAATTGTCTTTTGTGAACGCATTTGGTACATTTGCGCCATCTCTTTGGTAATCCCTATACTTTTCCAAATTTAATTCTTATAATAGTTGAACCAGTTCCAATGAGATGTCGCCACGTACGACACTAACGCATAGATATATAAATACATATCTATGCACTAACGTCACAAGAACATTTTAATTTATTCACTTAATAGCCACGTCCGACTCAATTTTCCTTAAAGGGCAGTTGAAAATGTGCAATTTCATGTAGGATTTGTAGAGCAAATGTACTTCAATGATCCAGTATCTGGAATTGCCTTTTGTATACACATTATGATGCAATTGGCACATTTGCGCCATCTCTTTGGTGATCCCTATACGTTTGCAAATTTAATTCTTGTAATAGTTGAACCAGTTCCAATGAGATGTCGCCACGTACGACACTAACTTCACAAGAACATTTTAATTCAATTTCATGTAGGATTTGTAGAGTAATTGTACTTCAATAATCGACTACACCAAAATTTCTCGGGAAAACACTTTTTCTTATTAATTTTGGTGCGTAGAATCCAAAACAATTCGTACTTTTTCGATCAGACCTCTCAATCAAAAGTTATAGACTAGAAACCAATTTCGAAAGAAAATTCAAAGGGCTGTAACTTTTGAACTAGTAGCCCAATCTTGGAACTGTTTGAAATTATGGATTCTACAGGCCACATTCTATAAGAAAATTTTTTTTCCGGGTCGATCTGAGACAATTTTTTTTTCGGGGCTCAAAAAAAGGCAGTGTATAACCTTCCTTTTTTACCAAAAATCGACTACACCAAAATTTCTCGGGGAAACACTTTTTCTTATTAATTTTGGTGCGTAGAATCCAAAACAATTCGTACGTTTTCGATTAGACCTCTCAATAAAAAGTTATGGACAAAAAACAAATTTCGAAAAAAAATTCAAAGGGCGGTAACTTTTGATCTAGTAGCCCAATCTTCAAACTGTTTGAAAATATGGACTCTCGATCGATCTCGATCTCAGACAATTTTTTTTCCGGCCTCAAAAAAAGGCAGTACTTTTAAGTTATTCAAATGTTTGAGAACAGTTTAGAAATGTTTAGGGAAAGTTTCCATTGTCACAAAATCAAATATAAAAATCCGATACATCTGAATACCGAACTCGATGGTCTACGTAACTTAAAAACAATAGGGACCTTTCTTATATCCTTAAGACCATGTGTATCAATTTTCAAAGCGATGCACGTTTTTAAACAAACTATCATACACACGGACAAACGGATGGTCAATAAAGGATCTGTTCCAAAATCGCTAGGATTAATTTCAGAAAGGCGAACGTATCATGTGCACGGCGCTTTGAAAACTGGTACACGTATTCTTAAGGATATAACTGGTATAAGAAAGGTCCTGGTAGGTACGGTACCTCCTATATAATAATATAATAATACCCTTTTATTCCCCTTAAATTTGTATATAACAATAGAAATACTTATAAAAAAGGTAACCCCATACAAAGTATAACTTGATTTTTTTAAGTAGTATTAAGCCTTTTATCTAGTATACCTTTGAATATAGATGTATTTTATAATCAAAGTAGTATACTATGTTAAATTTTTAATGTATTTGAGTGACAAGTATTTGAATACTTTTTATAGTATTCGAATACCTTTGATAATACTTTTGAAAGTATTCGAATACCTTTGAAAGTATTCGAATACATTCTAAAGTATTTTTATAAGTATTTGAATACTTTTCAATGTATCTGTATCTAGTATTCGCTTGTGCTGGACGTAAAAGTATTTAGTATTCAAATACCTTTGATTTGTGTAAAGTGTTTGCTATTTGGTATTCAAATACTTTTTGAAAGTATTCTGCCCAGCTCTGTCAGAAAGTTATCATGGGCACGGACAATCACGCGATTTGAAGAAGGGCCTTTGATAAAGTATCTAAGCTGACAAGTAGGAAAACAGTGCATGATATCACATGTTTATGGAGATATGACCACAGATTTTTAAATCTGTGATATGACTACCCTACTAATCAGTGCTAGCCTTCAATTTTATCGGCGACAAACCTCAAGTCTGCCAGGTAAAGTGTAAGTTTAGGAGAATGTGTTGTTTTAACAATCACGTTTAAATGTATTGAAACAATCAACAAAGTAAGCTGAACTCATATCTTGCACCATATACAGAACATGGACTGCTAACAGAAACTAAAATATGCCCAAGGATAACCACTTAATAGATGATGCCTGAATAGCCTCACCTAAATTAATTAATCAAGTTGAGTCTCTTTATTTTGCTCACTCAACGATAAGAAGTAATTTACCTACTTGTATTTTGACTACCATGGCAACGCTATCTGGTGCGTATACAATGGCTATACCAGCTAACCCATCAAGCATAACAACAATACCCCGTTACTTATCTATCACATCATATCATAATATAAAATTAACCTTACACTTTCACCCTTGTTATCACATATAATTGTGAAAGGTACCTACGTTTTTCCATCGTTAAAGTTAACTCTTTAAGAAGACCACCAATCGATAGTGCTTCTTGCATGGATGGTTGCTAGACCATCAGATTATTATCCAAAATAACTCTACATTTATCTAGTCCATTAAAATTTATTAATCAATACCAATAATTTTTTTATTTTTGTATCTAAATAGGTACTTTTGAAGATCTTTGGTTTTGGTTATTGCTTATTTTGTAATCTACACTTTTACATGACGTTTCATCTATTACGGGGAGTGTAATTTTGTTGTATGTACGCCAACCTTTCTTGTTTTCTTCTTTGATGTTGTTCACACAAATCACACTGCACATAAAAATACAGCCTCTTTCAGGTTCAAAAATTAAAGCTTTTTTTGCATTTTTTACATAAGATAAGATCTGTACATTGCGAGGGCTGTAATTCTTGTCGTACATCGCACATTTTTGTTTCCTTTTGGATTTCGTTTACAAGATCTACAGGCAGCATATATAAATTACTTATATCACCATCTTCTTTCAAAATTATAAATTGTTTATATGTCAAGTAGTGTCATTCTTCTGACGAGTTTTGTATTAAATTTTACCTACCTGAAATCTTATTTTAATATAAAATTTTAATTTTCTTATAGAACATTTGATTATTGTTAATCTGTCATTCACTCAAATGCCTTAACAACATTGTTATAGCCTGACAACATAGTTAACTATGCTTTATAATACCGGCCGTAAGTCCATACTCTGTTCAATTCAAGGTACACAGTGATTCCTTCAAACCATACATTAAGCTTAATAATCGATTAATTTGACTGTTTGGAAACTTTTCTCATCGAGCTTTGGATGTAAATACTGTTTGTTTTTGTTCAAAACCCACCCCATGGTAATTGGTGAAACGGCAGGAGCCCATATTAAAGCTCGTCTTCCATTGCCATTCTGCACATTTCGGCACTGTCTCTAGTAGGGGACAAAACAAAGGTTGACCGGAAGAAGAAGCTTGACTGCGGATGACGAGATAAAAAAAATGTCTTCTGAACTTGGACCTTTACTGTAATAACCACAAACAAAAAATGGCCGTCTGGATGTTCTTTACAGGTTGAACATCTCTATAGATCTTTCCGAACATTTACCAAGCAGGCAAAGTAATAGAATTTGAACATCGAGTTGCTGTTTTTTTTACCTTCGATTCTTTATTTTGTAAAGGTTCGCGACATATGGCCATTATCGGGAAGGTGGGAGGGGGGTGTATTTATAATCTGAGAGTGCGAATTTATGAAAAATAACTTCCGAAAGTCATATGTGGTTCAGAAATCAAAAATATCTAAATCAAGCCATATTCAGAAAAGCGTGGAAAAAAGTGGAATTTCCTACAGATCTGCAAGTTAATGGGTATAGCCCTATCGTCGTTGGATTCTATTTCTTTTTCTAAACGATAATTCCCTGTTTGTCTTGCACTATTTAAATTCTGAGCTCACCGGTATTTGTTTTACTAAGAAGATAATAAGTTCGTTATATTATATGGTAACCACGGTGGGAGTTTATAAGAGACTGTGTCCAACCTTGTATCTCAGTACATGTTGTGAATATACCCGATTTGTACCAAAAAAAATTTAAAAATTAGTGAGGAAGAAATGCTTAAACAAGTAATCATTCTATTTTCGTATTCCGTTATTACTTTCGCGTCACAATCGCAAACAACAAGGCGGTAAGTGAGATTTAGTTTATTATAAAATTAACGGGTGTCAGCTTTAATATTAAACAATATTGCGAATATTCGATAACGAATAAGTAATGAGAGTTTTACCTTGCACCTGCAAGGTTGATATTGGAACGTTATTTAAATGGTAACATGTTTTATGGTCAGTTAGTTTGCCATTTGATGGTTGAGAAGTGTTAGGTAAGGCTATTGTGGTTTTTAGAGAACCTTTAAAGGTGTTCGCGTTAGCCTAATTTATGACTAATATAACAGATAAGATCGTCGTTAAATTACTTAAGTACCCGTTTATTAATGGAGAAAAATCGTCATTTACACATTTTGGACAAGATACCCTGCACCTTATCACGTTATCCCTAGCAAATTCAAAAATTTATTGCAGTACTAAAAGGCAATACTTTGTGGTTCTCTCACAAGTTTTGCATATAGGTGTATACATATAATCTTAATCGGAATTATATTTAGATAATTGCCTACTTTAAATATTGTTATCTATATAGATGTACGTCACTGCAAATACGATCTTCCGCTGTACCAGTTACGTTTACATTTGTTACGCATCCCCATTTCGGCACCATCAAACGGAGGCGCCTAATAAATGTAGGCAAACGTCTTTTTAAAAATACCCACCCTATATATTTGTCTAGAAGCAGCCACAATGGAAAAACATCATCACACCAAATGTGTATTTGACGTTTTTTTTAAGATCCCTTGCCCTAGGTCTGGAATCAGTTTATGTTCGTATTTTTTAAGAACTTTTTAAAAACAATATGCTGTTGATGTTGGCAAATTTGAAAACCTTTCTTCATTCTCTGGGGGAAAGGTACTTCTTAAAGCTTAAACAAGTTTGCTATTTTTTGAGACTGTGGTTCTTCTTTTTTTAAAAATTCCTTATGATTGATACCTGACATAGATACCTACACTTCCTTTCTTGAAAGAAATGCGACCTATAACACCTTTAAATAAATACGAATAGGTACCTATATACATGATGATATGTAGAAGTACCTATATGTAATAGGTACTTCTACATATCATCACATCAGAATCGCAAATTGAAAGCAGATCTAAATTTGATGAAGGTGACTTTTTGAATATCTAAATGACGAATCCAAACCTATTTTTGAAAATTCGAAACAAAAATTCCTACTTTAATATTTTTGGTATTCAGTAGGTTGTTTAGGCGGGCAGCATCGTCATTCTAATTAAAATATCGAACAGCAAAGTCGTTGGACAGGATAAACAATAGGTAACTACTTGTTTATTGTTGTGGTAATATTGCTACATAGATTCAGTTTTTTGACATGAGAAAACTGTTCAAATGTGAGCTTCAAGGTTTTATTTCATTCAATTCTTTTTCCCGTAATTTAAGCTATTCTTATAATACGCATCTGTCAACAGTAACGATTTAGGTATGTTATGGGACGCAAAATATGTTTGTCAATACTCTCACTATGGGAGGTCCTTCATATCGCAAGGAACAAATAAGTAATCTAAAAATCAGTTCTGGAAAAATCCTCATGCCAGTCGCATGCTATTTTGACTATACACCTAATCGACCTTTAATTTTCATTGCTCTTACCTTCAATTACCTGATGTAAATTGGTACTAACACCTGACCTTTGAGTGTGAGCAGACGATATATTAATTCAGGACTGCCTATTTTCGGGGGAAAAAATATCCCAGAGTGATGCACAGACGGGTACAATATCAAATAAGTTGGTAATATATCGCCACCCTCCCAATTAAATTTAACTACTCAGCGGCATAAAGACAAAGTAAAATGAAAATAAAATTAACATTCTCATAAAGGTACCGTCAGGGGTTGGCGAGTGTCTGGCGACTCTGAAAAAGAGGGGAATAGGGAGGCCGAAGGATCGGTACTCTGGGTAGGTAATCAAATTTCAATTGTACCTATTTCAGATTGTACGTACAGTTTCAGAATATATTCAGTTAAATTCGGAATTCATACGGACAGTATAGGGGCGAGTGGGTTTGAAGGCAACAAGCAGGATGGTTTAGAATACGAGGATGTGATATACCAGCGAAATATCTGGCTGCGGTGGTTCCCTTGTGCCGAACCAAAAACGCAGAATAGACAAGAATCGGGGCTCTCGAATTAGGCGGCAAGGGACGCGGTGCCGATCTTTCCATTGGGTCCGTTTCGGTTTTTTTACTCGGCGATTATAAAAAGAAAAGTATAAAGAGAATGAAGATAAATACAGTCGCAATAACGTGCAATTTCGTGCTTCGTTTGCGATTACGAAATTTAGATCCCACAGTTTGAAAAAGTGGTCCAGTACTCGGATTGAGTACGGACATTTCTACGATAATCATATTTACGAAAGAATTAAAGACAAAGTAACCACCACAGAAAATTAACGTCTGGGTCTTTCTTTATTGAAGACAATTGTCAACCACTCCCTCGGGTTATGGAACTCGTTCCTAATCCTGCCGATACACGCAGAGTAAATGAAAATATCTGGTTTCAGCAAGATGGTGCACCTGCCCATTATAGACATGTAGTATGCAGTGCGTGATTCTTTAGACATTATGTTTCCTCTAAGATGGGTTGGAAGAGGAACCATTGAGACCATTGCACGTTTTTCAGTGATGGTCATATGGCCCATGTGGTCATTTAAGAAAAATTCAATATGGCCACCGCCCTCAAAATTGGGGCAATGAAGAAATTTCTTCTTCATTTTGAAACATGTATAACAATGTCTCATTCAAGTCCTCCGCACTCCAAACCAATATCTCAAACTATTCCTGTAGCAGAGCCTTAAGGCCAATTCGCAGTATCGGTCACGTCACGGTCAGATCACGGTCCGGTCAATTATTGTAGCTTGTATTTCTTATGAGCATGTTCTGACCGTGACCTGACCGTCAAATGTGAATATTGAAATAGCATGTTACAATATTTTGAGCCGAGCGTGAGCAGAGCGTGACGTGAGCTATAGTTGTGAATTGGCCTTTATTGTTGTTTTACTTTAGATCCGGTAATATTTTTTTTTTTCATTTTCCAAGGGGTTAAATCTCCACGTCACTCGAAAGACGCTTTCTAGATTTTGTCATTTAAAAAAATGGCGACCGCCCTCAAAGTTGGGGTAATGAGAGTAGATAAGCACACATTGACCTCATTTGATCTCTGTACTCCAAAACGTACAGTGAAGTGAACTTACTATTCGGTTGCACCAACATAGGCAAAAAGATCCCCTTTACCTTTCATAAAATTCGGTCATTTCATAGAGGGACCGACAGCTTTCCCAGCCGGAACAGCGTATTTGTGTTGTGATTTGTCTGGTTAACGTTTACTATTAAGTAACAAATAAAAGGATTTAGAAACATAGGAATCATAGCAGTGAAGATGTCAAAAATAATCGTGATAGATGATTTACTAACGAAAATAGAAAAACTAAAGTGGGATTTGGAGGTACTAGATAGATAGATAGATTACAACTAAACGGAAGAAATCCCAATCGTCCGTGTGGGATTTAGAGGTACTAGATATGCAGACTCAACGAAATAAATGCGCTAGAAGAGCATGAAATTGTGGTGGTAAATTTAAACGCTGTCCCTCGTATACAATGCGTTTGAGATTAAAGGTTCACCACAATATTTCTTTTACCCAAAATCATCCTGTAACCTTCATTTTCATGCCTACTTTCTGTCAGGAAATGGTAGCTTCCATGACAGAGGCAGAACAGACTACGTTTCCTACCGCTTGTCACTTTACTGGTCGCACTCTCACTTTACCGGCCGCATTTGTGACATTGCCAACTGTCTATAATGACTCCTGCCATCACTGACAGATTGACATTAATCAAAAGTTCTATATGAAAAATTTTATATTAAAATAGGATTTCGGGTAAAATTTAATACAAAACTCGTCAGTAAAATGACATTACCTGACTCGGAAATTGAAGTACTCGGCACCAAAGGGGCCTCGCACTTCAATATTTCCTCGCCAGTAATGTATCGTTTTCCGGACTGTAAATAACTACTATTTGGTAAGATACGACAAATTTGTCAAATATAATTTTATATGTGACATTACGAACTATCCGGTCGCAAATTGGGACTTTCGGTTTAACCGAAATAAACAGCGTCCCATTAAACAGCTTTCAAATCAACCGCTCATAGAAAAAACAGAACCCGTTCTGTCTCTTCACATGTTACCTGTTACCAGTTACCTATTCCGTTTCGATTTCCCTAGTATACGTATATTTGATGTAGATTACGAGGGCCGGCGTTTAAATTTACTACCAAAATTGGCACACTTAGTCAATGAAATTATATACTTATACCATGTGGATGTGCGGTTTTAAGGGCGAGGATTCCAAGGAAAATGAATAAGCATCCTTTATACATTTTTCTTTAAATACATAGGTACACAAACTTTACATGCAATTGTCCTAATTCATACAAAAGGAATAGGTCACTTTCAGCTAGATGTAACACGTTTGACCTTGTGTACAAAAAGGTCACGTTCAGCTCGGAAACACTACATTCTTTCTTCTCAAACTCGCCAAGGGTGTTGAAGCTGAGAGAGAACAACGCACCCCCCTGACCTTGACCACCAATGCGCCTATGGTAATTTCAATGTAAAGTGAGCCGGAAATCAACCAATCGGAAGCCAGGATTTTCCCTCATTCAATATCTCAGTGACCTTAGATCATGCCCATCGATAACCAAAACCACCGTTTGACCTTCAGTCATTTAGTTCCGGTACGAACCCCGGCCGTTTGACCTTCAGTGACATTGCTTGGACCACAGAGGTCAAAGTGTGCTCACATCGGTGTTGCTGATCTACTGATCTTTTTCATTCCGAAACATGCATAACAATGTTGAAATCCTCCAAACTGCAAGTGAATATCTCGAACCGCTTCAGCAAGGGAGCCTTGTTCAGTTACTTTATAGTAACCATGTATTAGAAAAACTAACATGTATCTCAAATTGTGCGAATATTGACTGAAAACTGCATCCTAAGT